TTTGACAGAATTCTGATGGTCAGAAAACAGCGTTTTAGTATGTCGAAATTTACAATTTAGTGGTACTAAATGATATAAAGATTACAAAAATGGCGATATAAAGATTACAAAAATCATTGTGTTAAATGATGAGTGAAAATGAGATGCAATTCTAAAGAACATTCTCGTTTACTGGTATTTTTTTGTGTGTTTTCGCACGTTGTTAAGATTATCAATTATGCAACGTGCCATAATATAGGGGGGCTCAGCACGCTGGTCACATTCAACAAATTTTCTCCCAGGATCGCAGGCTCATATTGTCAGTGGACTTGCGGTGTAAAATTGAAACTTTTGCATTTTTCAAAGAACTGGCCACTTTCTGTAAGATGTCCGCTGTCAATACGAACCCGCACGAGTGGGAGAAATTTTACTAAATTTGACCAACGTGCAGCCCCCCAAGTCAATATGAAATTTCAACAAGGGGGCTCAGCTCCCCTGAGCCCTCCCTCCAGTACACCACTTGGCCTATCTTCTAAGCAAGGAATTTTTTTTTTTGCACTATGCCTTGAAAGATTTTTTTTCATTTTTTTCTGGGAATAAAATTTTTTTTTGGTTTTGCCCCCCCCCCCACCCCCACCCATCACTTTTCTAATGGTCCGCCCTAACTAGAAAAATCAACGTAAATTAAAAGAAGCCAATCAGAAGCTTTGTTTACAAACTGGCTTGTGAATTTTATTACGGACATTTGAACTTCGCAACGAATTAAGTCGAATTTATGAGCTTCGTGATCAGAAAGAAGTTCGGAACATTTGACAAAAGTTAGGTAGAATCGGCTGTAAGTCATAAGAACATTTTCAAAGTTCATTGGGTTCCACAGAGAGCGCTCAAAGAAGATTTCGCTATAGAAAGGTAGATATTATTACACAAGTCATTAGCGTACTGCAGCCGTTTGACTTCGAATAATATTACGATTAACGCTTAAAAAGCTGAAGAACGACACGAACTTAAGTTAATGTACAGTATTTCACATTGCTTTGCTATTTATTTAGCTAACAAGAATATATTCAAGGCAATTCATTCATTTTGCCGCTTTGCGTAAACAGCCGTTTTGGGGCAATTTGACCCTTCCATTATTCGCTCAAACTCTTGAAATTTTGTATGGCCCAAAAATGTTATTTCACTTATCGAAAGATCAGTCCTTGCTAATTCGAGGTATTAGTGGCGATATATGGATTTTAATCGGACATAGTCTAAAGTTACGTAAAACAAGCGACAAGTTGAAAAATTGATAAAATATTCAAATCTACATCAAATTCGACTTTGAGAGCTGCTGCTTGTACATTAGTGTTTGTATTTGATGAAAAATAAGTTTAAATGTGCAGTACTTTTGATTTACGAGCGTAAACAAGCTCAATCTGAAGTAGTTTGTATCGCACTGAAAATACGCCCGTCAGCCGTGAGAACACAAATATCGACTTCTCGTTAAAAATATTTTTCGAATCAAAGTTAAACACATATTTATATTATCAGGTCGAACTAACTTACATTTTGACAAAGTTTGAGCGATTTTGATATTTCACGTTCTGCACGACATGGGCGATATTTACAGACAGCCTCTCTTAAGTAACCCCGGAAAGCCCTGGAAGACTTTCGTCGTTAATAGAGTTAAGAAGATTGCAGAAATTACCAACGAGATTGGTTTGGTGTGGAAGTATTGTCCATCAAGTGAGAACTTGGCGGATTTAGGCAGCAGGGGAGCTACAATTGAGAAAATGGTAAAAGACGGATGGTTCACTGGTCCTGAGTGGATGTTACATGTAGAACAGTGGCCCAAATAACCCCCAGCTTAAGGTTACTACACAAGTGAGCGAAGAGAGCAAACCCAGCATGGTGGTCTTTTTTGGAAAAAAACGAGAGCCTGATGAATGGGATACGCTGCTGGAAAGAAGTTCCTATTGGCGCACATTAAGAGTTACCGCGTGGGCACTGAGACTCTTGCACAATTGTTTGGCGAAACGGCGTAAAGAGAAAAGAAAATCTGGGCCCATTGGAAACGAAGAAATCAAGAAAACCTTACACAAAACCTTGGGAAAAACACACCTATTCTTTGAAGGTTTGGAATCGGTCGTATTGAACATCGAAAGCAACATGAACAACCGTCCGTTAACTTACGTAGAATGTGATGGTGGGAAGGAACAAGTCCTGATGCCAAACATACTCATTCGGGGAGAAAACTGTTACATGTTCGACGATGTTGAAAATGAAGAAGACGAGATAACCAAGATGCAACGAAGACTTAGAAAAGCAAAAGATGATGCATGGAAACGATGGAAGCGGGAATATGTGCATAGTTTACTGGAGAGCCAACGAGTCAATAACAAGGTTGTCGAAGCACCACAGATTGGAGACGTTGTCCTGGTAGTGGGAGAAGAGAAGAACAGGGGAGAATGGAAAAAAGGGAAGTGCTTCGACAAGTTCGTGGAAAAGACGGTGTAGTCAGAGGAGTTGAGCTGTTGCACAAAGGGCATACTATTGGACGACCACTACAGTTGATCTGTCCGCTTGAGATTCACTGCACACCAAACGAACGACACAAAGAAGTTGAAGAAAAGGAATCGGAGAAAGAAAAGAGACCTCAGAGACAAGCCGCAAAGAAAGCAATCAAGAAAATAAATGAACTAACGCAGTTGGAAAAGGACTGAACATTTAATATATACGTTGATATTCGGTTTTGAAGCTATAAAAATTAAACCTTAATTTGTAGGGGAGTGTGTACGGAATAGTGGTCCCCCCATATAAGTGACGTAAGCATGATTGACGTTTGCATAAAAGAAACATTAAGAGCATGTTGATGGGGGGTCGTTTATTATTAGATCATGTTAGACGAGAAAAAACAAAACAAGTGAGTCGTGAGCGTGATAATTCTATATTTTTATACAAATAAATGTAATTTGTCTTTGTTATTTCTGGGGTTATATACCTGTTAACAATTTAACAAGAGAAGTTCGGTATAACTATTCAAATTGGCCATACGAGCCACGGAAGCTAGCTGATTAACTAATGGAATTTGAGTAATTAACGTTGTTTTATGAATATATAATGATGTACAATGCATAGAACCCTAGTTTACAGGTTGTAACTGCTCTTTCTGTGCTGATCGCCAAGACAGAGAAGTGCAAGATTTACAGACTTTACAGTATGGCTCAACGCCTGTTCGACCTCCTTGCACGTTTACAAGACACGGTACTTGCGAATTAATGCTGTTGCCCAACCGATTGATCTTGATTCCGCTCTGCCTCAGAATGAACCAGTTTCGCCGGTGAATGATCCAATTGAAAATGAACAGCTACAGGCATCAAACTTGGACTTGGACGTGATTCTTTTATTCATATTGGTATTTGTCTGTATTGTAGCGTGTTTTTTTTAAGATTAAGATTTTTGCCCTTTGGGTAGTTATATCGCTTTGTTAGCAGTATATGATCGGTGGGGCGAAGTTATTTTTCGTTGTATAACGCATGCATGCATGGTTCACTCGTGGGCGGCTGATCGGAAAATACGGCCGCCTCTTTTCTGTGTGTGTTTAAGGATCGCTTACACTTGTGGTTTTAGTTACAGTTCTGTTGTATGTTATACGTTATATCTTCATTTGATGTGTATTATATTTCCGTCCTTGTTCGGGGTCATTTACCGTCAAGTTCGCTTTCGCCTATTTTAGTTCAGTTGAGATTGCGACGCATGAATGATTCCCGTCTGGTTTTAGCATTGTTAATTTTGTTAATGTTCAACGCGAGCGGGTCGTGTATTTCGCAAGATTAAATTGTTGAAAAGCAAAATAGCTAGGCTATAGTGATTGCCTTTCGCCTTTAATTAATAAAATGGTTATTGGATATTGTGTTTTCGTATGGTATAGGACGGGAACGAATTGCACTGCATGATTGCTTCATTCCGAGCTTCCGCAATTTATTGCATTTGCATGAGCGAAAGAGGACCACTGTGTTTGCCGTATGACCGAAAGGCCTACTCTGGGACCTTAACTCGCCGCGAGATAAGGATAGCCTATGCGAGTTAAGGCGAGATAGGGCGAGTTAAGGAAAAATCTGCTACTGACCCTTGGGAGTTAAGGCGAGATAAGGCGAGTTAAGGAAAAATCTGGATATTGTATATACACTATGTATTTTGCTTTGTTTGTGCATTATGCAAAGCAAGTATACAGTACTTGAAGTAGCAGGCCTAGAAAAGTGTTTTATTCTATATTCTATATTCTACAATACATACATGATATGCACAATAACTCGGAACCTGCAAACAAGTTGCATCAAAACGAGGCTGGTGCCAGATGCCAAATTGTATAATTTGAGGCATTATGCATAGTGTGTATAGAACTGCATTGTTTCCTAAATCTTCACAGTATCAGTTGCTAACTTGCTATGACTAGCTTCACCACAGCCTTTGTAATTTTTAGCTGTTTTCATGAATCATGACATTATCAATTAGGTTCGAATTTGTTTGCAACCAGCAGTCTTTGTATTCAATTTTCAATTTAATTCAATATAAACATTGATATGAAACAAAGAGAAGCTAAAAAGCTTGCTGGGAAATTGTAGATTATTTACTATTAAATTTAGCACTTTAACAACTATTTTTATTAACGAAATTTTGAACCATGATAACAAACGGTCATAATACTAGAATTAATGCCCAACTTACAGTACTTGCTTTGGAAACGTAAATGAATGCAAATGACAATGATTCCTCTGTATAAAACTGTATTCTTGTTTATATTCATATTTCCTATCAAGCTTTTATATTCAGAATTCACTGCCTCTCATTAACACTGACACTAAGTATTGTAAGCAGATTGTAATTTTTCCACTGAAGAGAGCAATATTTTCAATATCTGTTCCCAGACAGCATCCCGCTCCCCTGGTAAACGGAATCTTCCTTCTCATCATCGCGGTACTTCCTCTGCGGTCGGGGGGAGGGGGGGTCTACGCAGTCTATAAGTCAGAATCATTCGATTCCGTTTGCATGTTATTCATGTATTTATACAATATTAAATTGAGATTCAAAAAGCCTTGTCACTACAGATTGTTTCTACTAAATTTAATGTTGGTCACAGACAGACAAGAACGGTATGTTTACTACAATATTCACCTTTAACTTTGCTTTTACTGCAAATCTATATTTTCAATTTTTCATGAATTTTGTGAATGTGATTGTGTATTAAAATATTTCTCCTAAAATTCTGCGCGTATCGTTGGTTCAGTAGTTATGTTGCCGGTTGTATATAAAAACAGTTCAATGAATAACTTTGCAGTTTGGGCTGTTGATATCATAGACACCTTTATACTATAAGTATAACAGTATTTTAGTAAAGTTTGATAGTCATGTGATAGCTGTTTAAAAGCTAAGCATGTACTTTTGATGTTTTGATATCATTGTATAGTTGAAATAGAATAGATAAGTGATCTGTATATTAGTATATATGGGAATATTAATTTTCAACCATACTTGGCAGTTGGGTTCTGTTATTATGTTCAATTATTTTCACTGTGATTTATTAAATACTGGGTATTACTGTATATGCCTGCTAAGCCCTGTTTACTGTATTAAAGTACAGTAGTTGGTGGTATTATTTGATCAATACTGTTTTATGGCATTACATAGAATGTAGTAAATTAAAAATATGATAACATTTCAGATAATCAGGTTTACTGTACATACTTGTATGTTGATGTCAGTTGCAATGGGTCGTTTCAGAAAAGATCCACACTCTCCCCACGGAGGAAATTTCTGCCGTCCAGAGGGGGAGGGGAGACAAAAAAATTTCTGATAATAGTAAAATTATATATTAGGACATCCGAAGGGGGTAGAGGGGTTAACTTCCAATTTCCTCCTTGGGGGTGGTGTGGATGTTTTCTGGAATGCCCCAATAATGCCAAACTCATAGAATATATAGTGAGTATTGTGAGTCTAAAGAATTTTGATTGACAGTATTTGTATTTTACTGATGTGAAACTGTGTCGGTTTTTATTGCAAAATAGGGCGAGTTTAGGCGAGTTAAGCAAAATTCTGTCAACTTATCATTGCGAGATAAGGCGAGATTGGGCGAGTTAAGCAAAATTCGATCAATTGCTATTGCGAGATAAGGCGAGATAAGGCGAGTTAGGGCGAGTTAATGTCCCAGAGTAGGCCTACCGAATGGCATCTCGCAATAGATAATTGCTTGCTTGCGACCGAGCACAAATCCTACTATGGATTTAGCAGTTGCCAATGGGTTTGGCGTATGAGAGACGTGCATCTCGCAATGCTAGATTGCTTGAGACCGAGCACGAGTAGCTACTGAATTTGGATGTTAAACAACGTTGCCAATGGGTTCGGCGTATGAGAGAGGTGCATCCCGCAATGCCAGATTGTTTGAGACCGAACACGGGTAGCTACTGAATTTGGATTTCGAACAAAGTTGCCAATGTGTTTGGCGCATGAGAGCAGTGCATCACGCAATGCCAGATTGCTTGAGACCGAGCACGAGTGGCTACTGAATTTGGAGTTTAAACAAAGTTGCCAATGGGTTTGGCGTATGAGAGACGTGCATCTCGCAATGCCAGATTGCTTGAGACCGAGCACGAGTAGCTACTGAACTTTGGATTTTAAACAAAGTTGCCAATGGGTTTGGCGTATGAGAGACGTGCATCTCGCAATGCTAGATTGCTTGAGACCGGGCAAGAGTAGATAATGAATTTGGATGTTAAATAAAGTTGCCAATGTGTTTGGCGTATGAGAGAAGTGCATTTCGCCATGCTACCTTGCTTGAGACCGAGCACGGGTAGCTACTGAATTTGGATGTTAACTAAAGTTGCCAATGGGTTTGGTGTTTGAGAGATGTGCATCTCGCAATGCGTGATTGCTTGAGACCGAGCACGCGTAGCTACTGAATTTGGATTTTATACAAAGTTGCCAATGTGTTTGGCGTCTGAGAGAAGTACATCTCGCAATGTCAGGTTGCTTGAGACCGAGCACGGGTAGCTACTAAATTTGGATTTTACACAAAGTTGCCAATGTGTTTGGTGTATGAGAAAAGTGCATGTCGCAATGCCAGATCGCTTGAGACCGAGCACGAGTAGCTACTGAATTTGGATTTTAAACAAAGTTGCCAATGTGTTTGGCGCATGAGGGACGTGCATCTCGCAATGCCAGATGGCTTGAGACCGAGCACGAGTAGCTTCTGAATTTGGATTTTTGAACAACTTTGCCAATGTATTTGACGTATGGGAGAGGTGCATTTCGCAATGCACGATTGCTTGCGACCGAACAATATTAGTTACTGCATTTGGATTTAAGGCACAGTGGGCAATGTGTTTGCCGCATGAGCAATGTGCATCTTCCAAAGATGTTTGCTTGAAACCCAGCACGATTAGCTCAGTAAATTTGGATTTACGGCAAAGTGGCGATGTGTTTGGCGTATCTGAGCAGTGCATCCCGCAATTGTATGATTG